CCCCCCCCCCCCCCCCCCCCCCGCCTCTGTCTCTGTCTGCTTTTTTCTAGGCAGGGTTTCTCTGTGTAGCCCTGGCCATCCTGGAACTTGCTCTGCAGACCAGCAGGCCTCTGCCTCCTGGGTGCTGGGAAGAGACAGAGTAAAGCAAGGCATAGTATGGTAGCACAGGCCTTTAATCCCAGAGGCAGGCAGATCTTTGTGAGTTTGAGGAGAGAGAGAGAGAGAGAGAGAGAGAGAGAGAGAGAGAGAGAGAGAGAGAGAGAGAGAGAGAGAGAGAGAGAATGAGAATAAATTAGAGGGTAGTGTGCCTTAGCGTGCATGTAGAAGTCAAAGGACAACTTGTAGGAATCAATCCTCTCCTACCATATGAGTCCTGTGTATTGGACTCAGTTTGTCAGGCATGGTGGTAAGCATTTTATGTACTGAGCTTTAGTGCCAGCCTCTTTATGTTTTTATTTGTTTGTTATTTATGTATTAATCTTCTGGACGGGACAGGGTCTTAACTATGTAGCCTTGGCTGGCCTAGAACTGTTCTGTAGACCATACTGACTTGAACTAATAATCCTCCTGCCTCCCTCGAGATGCACTGTCTTCTGGTTTGGAAAGGTATTACATTTACCAATTTTCCTGCATGAATAGAGCATAACAGAGAAGTTTGACCCTGACTCTCCCTGCATACAGATCTCTTTCCTGATTGACTCCTGAGGGTAAATTACCTGTTCCTAATACCAACCACAAATTGGTGAATAAATGAGCCAAGAGGCCCTTATCTATAACCTAAATGAGTCTTATGCTGATATTCACCAGCTGGTCATCTAGCCTCTCTAAAAGTGGTTCCTTATCTGAACAGTAAAAGTATTGCTTCATTGTGATCATTTAGGGGATTAAGCAATATAATAAACTTATCAGTTTGTGGCTCTGAATAAGTGCTTAGTAAATGTTAGCAATTTTTCTTAGTATTGTTCTTTAGCTTTCTAGAGCAATACTGAAAACAGTTTGTCAGAAACTACATTCTAAGACCCAGTTAGGTAGGCAGTTTTTCTTTGGTTTTATTTAACAAGACAATAATCTTATTCTATGTATTTCTCTTGACTCTTTTGGTGTGAAAAGCAGAGAGGTAAAGCATTATTTGACAGATGTATGGATTCAAGCAAGAAACTGAGGTCCAGTTACAAGGAAATGACTTGTATAATTCAGAGCCCTGTCTGAGGAGACACAGAGGACCCTAGAGGGCGGAGAATGAACACAGCGCAGGGGCTAGTTCCAGAGTCGCATCTTCGGTTAGTTCACTTACCAGTGTGGTTGAGGGTCCCTTCTCAGTAAGCAGAGACCCTTTCCCCCTTCTGCTCCAATATATCTTCCGGCGTGTGTTTATTAAAACTTTTTTAATGTGAAGTAGAGTTTGTTACTTGTCCAAAAATAGGCAAGGAAGCTCTATAGAGACTTGTTGAGACCTCGTGTCCCACCTGTTCCTGTGCCAGATTTTGCAGAGACTTATTTGCCAATTGTTGCTCCTCAAACTTAGGGTTGGCTCACTCTGTAGGCTCCAAATCTAAATGGTGATGCTGCTGCCGCCGCCGCCGCCGCCACTGCCGCCACCACAGGTGTTGCTGCTAATGGCTATTCACAGTTTGCTGCTTTAAGAATATAATCTGCTGTGAAACTTTGACCTTCCTCCTTTCTTTCTGTCTTTGGTGTTGTACTTCTTTCTCCTGGTTCTTTTGCTGTACAGCCAGTATTCCAAAGAAATGCTGTAGACATCAAAGTTATGAGCTTATTACCTCTCCAAGGAGATATGTTAGCCATAGAAAAGAAGGTAATTGAAAGAGAACCTTTGCCTCTTTGCTTAATAGTGTTTGGGAGCAAGGGATAGGTACTTGCTGGAACTCAGGAGAGTGTTCTACGAGACCTGGAGAAGTAACTGGGCATAGCCTGCCCAAGGAGAGTACCCCAGCCTGCTGGAGCCAAGACTGAAGACAAGTTTTACCTTCTCCCACCCATGTCCCTAAACTTAAGCCTACTTTGCCACACTGTCCCAAATCTGTGGCTTAAAACAGCCGTCTCATGAGTTTGTGGATATTCTTCTTGTAAAATGTTTCAGCTTGGAGACTGGAAAGGCCATCTGTGTCTTCCTGTCTCTGTTACTCTAAGGGTTTTAGGTAATGGCTTTTGTCTTTCTTTTTACAGGGAACTCTAATGATACATGATAAAGAGGTCACTCTTGAGTATGTACCAAGTCCAGATTTTTGGTACTGCAAACGAGTAAGTACTAAAAACTCTTGTTTTAGAATAATAAGCATTGCAAAGGTAATATTCTAGTTACCACCTAGCCAACTGTTTCCTTGCATTGCATTCAATAAAATAGTCATTAAATTAAAAGAAATTAGCATTCCACATCTCTAGGTATGCTACCTGTGAAAATTTTAAGCTATACTTTTTATTGGAGGTGTTATTGCAATGAGTTAAAATGTAATTTCAGTTTCTATTGCTAATACTTCAAAATTATTACAAGGTATGCGTGGTGGTGCACACCTTTAATCTCAGCAGCACTTGAGAGGCAGAGGCAGGCGGATCTCTGTGAGTTTGAGGCCAGCCTGGTCTACAAGAGCTAGTTCCAGGACAGGCTCCAAGCCACAGAGAAAAACCCTGTCTTGACAAACCAAAAAAAAATAAATAAATAAAAAAACAGATATGGCAGTTCTTTTAGTTTGCTTTTTTTTTGTTGTTGTTGTTGTTGTGGTAAAACACCTTGACCAAAAAGCAATTTAGGGAGGAAAGGGTTTAATGTGGTGGTTTAAAAGATAATGGCTCCCAAAGGAAATGAGACTATTATTAGGAGGTGTGGCGTAGGTATGGCCATGTTGGTAGAAGTGTGTCATTTTGGGGGTGGGCTTTAAGATCCATTCTATGCTCATGCTATGCCCAGTGTGGGACACAATTCACTTCCTGCTGCCTACAGATCAAGTTGTAGGTCTCTTAGCTCCTTCTCCAGCCCCATGTCTGCCTGCATGCCAGCCACTGTGGTGATAATGAACTAAACCTCCGAACTGTAAGCTAGCCCCAGTTAAATGTTTTCCTTTATAAGAATTGCCATGGAGCCAGGTGATGGTGGTGCACACCTTTAATCCCAGCACTCAGGAGGCAGAGGCAGGCAGATCTCTGTGAGTTCGAGGCCAGCCTGGTCTACAGAGCTAGTTCCAGGATAGGCTTCAAAGCAATAGAGAAACTGTCTTGAAAAAATAAACAAAAAAAAAAGAGAGTTGTCATGGTCATGGTGTCTCTTCACAGCAATAAAAGGCATAACTAAGACAGTTTAATTTCATTTTACAGTTATAGTCTGCTGTGAAAGGATATCAGCAGAAGTTTAAGGCAGGAAAAATTGGAGGTAAAAGCCAAGTGGAGGCCATGGAGGAGTGCTGTTACTAGCTTTCTTCCCATGTCTTACTCAGTTTGTTATGTTTGTTTTCCAAAGACAGGGTTTCTATGCATAATAACTCTGGCTATCCTGGAACTAATTGTAGACCAGGCTGGCCTCAAACGCCTCCTGAGGTGGATTAAAGGAAGGCATGCACCATGATGCCTAGCTGGCAGGGAGTCTCCAGCAGTGTAAGAGAGGAAATAACACACAAGGGTGCATTTTTTATCTTTGCTTTAACTGTGAATAGCTGCTTGAGTTTCTGTCTTGACTTCTTGAAATGATGGGTTGTAACATGGATTTGTAAACAAAATAAACACTTTTCTCCTCTATGTTCTCTATGTTGTTTTTTGTCTGGGTGTTTGTCACAGCAACAGAAATAAAACCAAAATAGAAGACTAAGGCAAGAAGATCATAAATTAACCCTGTCTCAAAAAGAATACATAATTCAGTGGCATATTAAATACCATAAAAATATTGTGCAACCATTAGTACCATCTAGTTCCAGAACTTCTGCTCTCACTCCACTAGCTGGAGCCAGTGATTGATAGTGACCAAACACAAAACTCAACCTTTGCTAAGCAAATGTTCTACTTTTTTTTTAAGATTTATTTTTTATTATGCATAGTGTTCTGCCTTCATGTACGTATGTATGCCAGAAGAGGGCACCAGATCTTATTACAAATAGTTGTGGGCCTCTATGTGGTTGCTGGGAATTGCACTCGGGAAGAGCAGCCAGTGTTCTTAACATCTGAGCCATCTCTCTAGCCCCTGGTTTTATTATTTTGGCCAAAAAAAAAAATTTTTTTTTAAAGACAGGGCCTTAATGGATTTGATAGTACTTGCCTTTAATTTAGCACTTGGGAGACCAGGCAGGTGCAGGCTGATCTCTGTGAGTTAGAGGCCCAGGCTGGTCTTTGGTTGGTTGGTTGGTTGGTTGGTTGGTTGGTTGGTTGGTTTTTCAATATGATTTCTCTGTAACGTCCCTGGCTTCTATGATTAAAAGGGCATGCAACCTCCACCGCCCAGCACTATTTACCATTTCTTGATGAAGACCATCCTACTTAGTATATAGCAACATTTTATCCTTTAAATTTTTTTTATTACACTGTGTGTGTGTTTGGCCAACCACCTGCCTTGACACCATGGCAGAGAAGAAATTTAGGGAGTCAGTTCTTTTCTCTATATGGCTCCTGGAGATTGAACTCAGGTTGTCAGCCTTGGCAACAGGAGTCTACACATTTCACCATCTCACCAGCCCTCATATTTTATCATTTTTAAATTACTTTGTTTATTTTGTGTACATAGACACAAGAATGCAATGTTGAAAGTGTGGTGGTCAGAAGACCATTTTCAGGCATTGGTTCTTGCCCTCTCTCATATGGGCCTTGGGAATATAACTCAGATCCTTTGTTTTGTCAGCAAATGCCTTTACTTACTGGGCTATGCCATTGTTTTGATTTGTGTTTCCCTAAGACTAATGATTGATGTATCTTTTATGTAACCATTTGTATAGCTTTTTAAGAAAAATGTTCAGTGAGTCTTTTGCCCTTTTTAGTTGATTTATTTGGTTTTCTGTTGCTGAACACATTTGTTGTCCAGTAAGATTTATGAAGACTTAACCCTGTGTTTTAGTCTAAAAGTTTTACTATCATACTTCAATGGTGGGTGAGAGTAGTTTGGGTGGTTGGTTTTAAGACAAGATCTCACTATGCACCTAGGGCTCTAAGGATTCTCTGCCTCTGCTTCCCAAGTACTGGGATTATCAGTGTGTACTACCACACCTGCATAATTAGGTGTTTGATCTAGTGAAGTGTTTTGATTGTATTTGTTTTATGGTGCTGGGGATCAAACCCAAGACCCTACCATAAAGTTACATTATCAGTCTCTGTTAATTCATTTGTTTTGTGTGCAAACTGGTGTTCGTTATATGGGATTTTCAGAATTTTAACAGTACCATTTGAAGAAACTATTTCACCAGTTGAATCATCTTGACACTCTTATCAAAAATCAATACATCTACAAATTTAGAGTCTCTCATTTTAGTCTTTTGGTTTTTTGAGACAGGGTTTCTCTGTAGCTTTGGAGCCTGTCCTGGAACTAGCTCTTGTAGACTACGCTGGCCTCGAACTCACAGAGATCTGCCTGTCTCTGCCTCCAGAGTGCTGGGATTAAAGGCGTGTGCCAGTACTGCTTGGCTCTCATTTGAGGTCTAATTTTCATGTTTATCCATAATGTCAGTACCCTGATTGTTGGGGCTTCTTATTTGTTTGTTTGGTTGGTTGGTTGGTTTTGTTGTTGTTGTTTTGATTTTTGGTTGGTTGGTTTTTAGTTTTTCAAGATAGTACTCTGTGTAGCTCTGGCTGTCCTGGAATTCACTCTGCAGACCAAGCTGACCCAGAGCTCTGAAATCCAGCTACCTCTGCCTCCTGAGTGCTGGGATTAAAGATATACACCACCACATATGTGTGTTATTTTGATTGATTATAAAACTAGTAAGATTTATGAAGGAAGTGTGAGTTCTCTGTTCTTTTCAAGATTGTTTTGGTTAGTCAACATCTTTAGCAGTTCCATATAAATTTTAGGGTCTGTTTTCTATCTATGCAAAAGGGCCCTTGGTGGATAGTGGGATGGTTTAGTGAGTAAAGAAGCTTGTTGCAGGGACTGGAGAGGTGGCTCAGAGGTTAAGAGCATTGCTTGCTCTTCCAAAGGTCCTGAGTTCAATTCCCAGCAACCACATGATGGCTCACAACCATCTGTAATGAGGTCTGGTGCCCTCTTCTGGCCTGCAGGCATACACACAGAATATTGTATACATAATAAATAAATATTAAAAAAAAAAAAGAAGAAGCTTGTTGCACAGCACAAACTTGACAGCTGAGTTCAATCCCTAGAACCCAAGTAAAGTTAGGAAGAGAATTATCTTCACAAATTTTCTGCTGACTTTCACGTGCATGCAATGACACGTGTCCTCACATTGTAAATCATGGATCCACATACACATGATAATAATAAATCATTTTTAAAGGCCATTTTAACACTTTTGGAGTGTTATCTTCATATTATTGTAAGATTATGAATCCCTCTCCATTTATACTATCCATATTAACTTTAATATGGGTTTCTTTAAAAGGAAATATTTTCAACTTTATTTTCTAATAACCAGAAGAAAGAAATACTAATATCTGATATCAGATTTACAATTTTTGCCAAGACTGTTGCTTAAAAGAATGATCTGGTTATATGACAAGGTAAATTACTCAGTTTACTTTCTTGGAAGGCTTTATACACTCTGTGCTTAGAACAATAGAGGTCTTGTCCCAGTGTATGCAGACTTTAGTGTGTTATAGATTGTTTTTTGTTTTGTTTGTTTTTTTTTTTATGGCAGGGTTTCTCTGTTACCCTGACTGATCAGGAACTGACTTTGTTGCTCAGGCTGGCCTTGAATTCACAGATATCTACTAGTCTCTGCCTTCCGAGGGCTGGCATTAAAGGTGTGTGCCACCACCAGCAGCATAGATTGTTTTTAAATGTCTTTTGGTGATAAAAGGAAATGGAATACTAATACTTAAGTGAACCTTAGAAATGTTACATCAAGGGGCTGGAGAGATGCCTCGGAGGTTAAGAGCAGTGACTATTCTTCCAGAGGTCCAGAGTTCAATTCCCATCACCTACATGGTAGCTCACAGCCATCTGTAATAAGATCTTTTGCCCTCTTCTGGCATGTATGCGTACGTGCAGACAGAATACTGTACATAATAAATCTTTTTTTAAAAAGGAAATGTGAAAACAAAGAAATGATCATATATTATACAATTTTATGGCCTGGTATTAATGATAGAAAATAACTTTACTATGTTTCTTTGGGAGTAATGAAAATGACTTTAATTAAGATTGTGGCAGTGGTTTACTAAAAATAATTGAACTGTACACTTAAAATAGGTTAAGTTTCTTAGTACTTAACTATGCCTACCTACTGAGTTAAGATCCTGACCCCAATGTTTACCAGTTTAAGGGTTTTTTTGTGCTCCAGCTGTGCTGTCATAATCAAGAGCTATGGTTCTTCTCATTTTTGGACCTAGACTAAAGGATAGTCCTCAGCTTGAGACTGTTGTCAATGTATCAATTGTTTTGTCCTACTCTGATGTATTAGGTTTTGTTTTATCTCTTATTTTTTTTTAATTTAACTTTATTTTATGTGCATTGGTGTGAAGGTGTCAGATCCCTTGGAACTGGAGTTACAGACAGTTGTGAGCTGCCATGTGGGTGCTGGGAATTGAACTCAGGGCCTCTGGAAGAGTAGCCCATGCTCTTAACCACTGAGCCATCGCTCCAGCCCTCTTATTTTTTTTTATTATCTTTTAGAAGTCTTTGTTTTCTTTCGTTTATTTTTTTTGTTTGTTTGAAACAGGATTTCTTGGTGTAACAGCCCTAGCTTTCTGAAACTAGCTCTGTAGACCAGGCTGGCCTCAAACTCACAGAGATCTGCCTACCTCTACCTCCTGAGTGCTGGGATTAAAGGTGTTCGCCACCACTGCCCAACTGGTAGTTACATTCTTAAAAATGTAACTGTAAAAAAGGCAATTGAGAATGAGGAACTGTATACCCAAGACCAGGTTTTGGGTTCAGTGTATAAATGGCAATGGCTTTTGGCAGTCATCTCCTTTAAGCCATTTAGCGGGCAATTTCCTTAGTGTATTTCCTTTAAAGGTCCCTATTCAGGTCAAAGGTATTGTGGTCCTTGTTAAGTGCTTGCTTAGAAGTTACTTCTCAAACAGTACTCATGTATTCTTTCTGTCATTGTCAACAAATGGGGTTATCAAATATTATGAGGGGATCCTGGGATATTCCTTGTTTCTTTCATTTTTGTCAGGTATTACTGTGTTAGATATTCATTAAGGTTTCTAAAAATGGTTCTGATCACATTGAAGATTTTTTTTCTTTATTTTCCTTTCTTTGCAGTGTAAGACAAGCACGGATGGGCATCAGTCTTGTTCCTTCTGCAAGAGCCCTAAGGAAGGTGAGTGAGAAAAATGATGCCTTTTGTCTTACACAGTGAACAAATTATTTTTATTTTATTTTAAAAAATAGAAAGATGACTCAGTGGTTAAAAAAAATACAGTCCTAGCTGGACAGTAGTGGTGAACACCTTTAATTCCAGCACTTGGGAAACAGAGGTAGGCAGATTTCTGTGAGTGAGTTTGAGACCAGACTGGTCTAACAAAGTTCCAGGACAGCCATATCTGTGACAGAGAACAGATATGGGGAAACAGATATGAGAACAGTCTTGGGGGAAAGAAATGGAGAGGGACAGGCATGGTAATACATATGTTTAATCCCTGTACTCAGGAGGCAGAGATGAGTAGCTCTTTTTTCAGTTTGAGTTCAGCCTTGTCTACATAGAGAGTCCCATGCCAACCAGGGTTACATAGTCAGACCCTTTCTCAAAAAAAAAAAAATAATAATAATGACTTTTGTATTACTGGTTTTTGTTTTGTTTTGAGATAGGGTCTCACTCTGTAGTGCTGCTGGCTTGAACCACGTGCCCCTGCCTCCTGAATGCTGGGATTAAAAGGCATGCACCACCACTGCCTGACTAATTTTTTTTTTCTGGTACAATTCATGATTAGTAGCCTGTTTGCCTAGCATTCCACTCATAAAGACTTCTCTTATGGTGATTTGATGGATGGGTGGGTGGGTGGGTGGATGGATGGATGGTTTATGAAAACCTTAGACAGCAAATATTTGGAGCTGAGTCTGTAACTCAGTGATAATACTTGCATAACATGGGTTTGATCTTCAGTATATCACATTTACAAGGAAAGGTTGAGGAGGAAAGCAAGCAAGCATATATATTCACTTATCATCTGCTACTAGTATTAAGTGACCACTACATTGCTCCCATAAAATGTCTCTTTTTGAGCCACATGGTTTCCTTAGTAAAGCCTCTTAAAATGAATGAATTACATAAATAAAAAAAGAAAGAATATTGAATGATAAGAATGCTCAGTGTTTAACTCCTTACAGTTATCCTCTTGACTTCCTTCCATATACATGTCATGGCATGCACACAGACATATGCATAAACTAACTAAATGAATAAATGATCTTTAACTGTAAGAAGAAATTCACAAAATATGCTAACTAAACAGTCTTGCTGTGTGCTTTGTTAGCATTAGAATTCCAGAAGTAGCAAGGCTTCTAGACATGTGCTTTTGGGTATAGTTATTAAACCCCTAGCAACCATGTTTTTGCTAATTTTGTCCCTATGTTGTTTCTCTTTCTTTTCCCTTCGCCTTTCTTCCTCCCTGTTTTACCCATCCTGTTTTTCTTTCCCATATACTAAGGTTCTAACTCAGGACCCTGTACATGCTAGGTACCATTTTATCACTAGGTACCTCAACCCCTGTTTGTTTGTTGTTGTTTTTTGTTTTTGTTTTTGTTTTTTCCAAGATAGAGTTTCTCTAGGTAACAGCTCTGGCTTTCCTGGAACTCACTTTGTAGACCAGACTGACCTCGAATGCATAGAGATTCGCCTGCGTCTACCTCTTTGGTGCTGGAATTAAAGACCTTTGCCACCATCGCCAGCATTTGTTTGGTTGGGTTTTTTTTTTTTTTTAAGATTTATTTATTTATTATGTATACAGTGTTCTGTCTGCATGTATGGCTGCAGGCCAGAAGAGGGCACCAGATCTCATTACAGATGGTTGTGAGCCACCATGTGGTTGCTGGGAATTGAACTCAGGACCTCTGGATTTTTTTTTTTTTTTTTTGAGACTGGGTTTCCCTGTAGCTTTGGGGCCTGTCCTTGAACTAGCTCTTGTAGACCAGGCTGGCCTTGAACTCAGAGATCCTCCTGCCTCTGCCTCCCAAGTGCTGGGATTAAAGGTGTTCGCCACCACCGCCCAGCCCTATTTCATTTTTTAAAATAACATTTTCTCAAGAACCATCAGATTTTTTTTTTTGCAGGTGTTTCTGAGATGATATTAAAAGCATTGGTTGGTTTTATAAAATCATATGTGTTCTCTGTTTAAATCCCCCCTACTGACAGAAGTAAAGCAAGAACTAGTATCCTATCCTCAACCTCAGAAAACATCTATACCAGTACCCTCAGAAAAACAACCCAACCATCCACGGCCAACTGATAAGGAACATGAATTCAGGAAGCGGGAAGAAGGACAAGAATCAAGATTGGGACATCAAAAAAGAGACACGGAAAGATACTTCCCTCACTCTCGAAGGGACGGGCTTACATTCCGAAGAGACAGAGAAAAGGAGTCCTGGTCTGGAGAGACACGGCAAGATGGAGAGAGCAAAAGTGAGTGATTTGTCAGGTCATGTGACTGTTTGAAGCCATAGGTAGATGGCTTATGTTATGGCCTCTGCCAGCTGTGCACAAACTAGAAGGCATTAATTTCAGCTGGCTTTACTAAGTCAGCGGAATCTATATCTTCCACATAGCAAATTGTTATATTAAAAAAATGCAGTTAGACATGATTTTAGGTTTCTAAGAATTGATAATGAAAAGAAAAGTAGGAAATTTTTTATAAAAACTAATTTGCAGGGCTGGAGAGATGGCTCATCAGTTAAGAGTATCGCCTGCTCTTCCAAAGGTCCTGAGTTCAATTCCCAGCAACCACATGGTGGCTCACAACCATCAGTAATGAGGTTTGCTGCCCTCTTCTGGCCTGCAGATGTACACACAGACAGAATATTGTATATGTAATAAATAAATATTAAAAAAAAAAAATAACTTGCAGGGCCAGAAAGATAGCTCAGCAGTTAAGAGCACTAACTACTCTTCCAGAGAATCCAGGTTCAATCCCAGGACCCAAGTGGCAGCTAACAACTGTGTACCTCCAAGATCTGATACCCTCATACAGATGTAAATACAAGCAAAACACTAATGCACATAAAATAAAAATAAATAAATTATAAAAGGAAAAAGGTTTTTAAAAAAAGAAACCTTGGTAGAGAAAGATGCTATATAGATTAAAAATGACCATTAAGTCCTTGGAACTTCAAATTTTTATGTCTCTTTCCTTAATGTCTCTGTTTTGCTTGCTTCATTTAGCAATCATGCTAAAACGTATTTATCGTTCCACTCCGCCTGAGGTGATAGTTGAAGTGCTGGAGCCTTACGTCCATCTTACTACTGCCAATGTCCGTATCATCAAGAACAGAACTGGCCCCATGGGCCACACTTACGGCTTTATAGACCTCGACTCCCATGCAGTGAGTTTTTCCCGCTTTAAAATGAAGACCAATGACTAAATAACCTTCAGTAATGTTTGGGGAAGCAGGTTGTGGGGGTATAGGCCTGAAAACCTAGCACTCTAGAGGCTGAAGCAGGTAGATGACAAGTTCAAGACTAGCCTGTCCTACAAAGTAAAACCCCTGTCTCCACTTATAAAGAGATTTGGTGGGGATGCAATGGAGAATTCTCTCCTTTGGGACTAATGTTTTTTTAGGTAAGCTACTGTCAGGTGGTTGTGGCACCTTTAATCCCAGCACTTAAGAAGCAGAGACAGGAGGATCTCTGTGAGTTCAAGGACAGCCTGGTCTACAAAGCAAATTTCGGGACATCCAGAATGGTCCTGTCTTGGAAAACCAAAAAAAAAAAAAAAAATAGAAGAAGAAGAAGAAGAAGAACAGCTTACCTGCAGGCTGGAGAGCTAGCTCAGTGGTTAAGAGCACTTGCTGCTTTTGTAGAGAACCTGGTTCAGTTTCCAGTACTCACATGGTAGCTCACAACCACCCCAAACTCCAGTCTATGGGATCTGATACCCTCTTCTGACTTTCTGGGGCACTAGGCATGTATATGGTGCATACATTTAGGCAAAACACTCTTACACGTAAAGCAAAAATTTAAAAAAAAATTAAGGCTTATTTTTACAATGTGAGTTCAAGGCCAGTCTGGGCAATCCAGGAGACCCTGGCTCTACATTAAAATTTAATAAAAGGGTGGATTATAGCTTACCTAGCATGCATGAGGGCTTAGATTGAGTATCATTTCTCTCACACACGCACACGCTCACCAGTTATGTTTACCATACTGCTCTTACTGTAAAAATTATTACCAGAAGGGACTGGAGAGATGACTCAGTGACTAAGAACAGTTCCAGAGGACCTGGGTTTGTATCCCAGGACCTACATGTTGGCTCACAACCATCTATAACTCCATTCCCAAAAGATCTGATGCCTTCTTCCTGCATCCAAAGGCACCAGGTGTGTACATGTGCACAGCCATACATACAGGCAAAAGACACATACACATAAAATTTTCTATTTATGTATATTTTGTGGTTTTTGTTTTTTGAGGGTGGGTTTTTTTTTTTTTTTTCCAAGACTGGTCTCACTGTGTAATGTAGCTCTGACAATCTATCTGTAACCAGGCTGTCCTCTGACTCAAGAGATCTGTCTGCCTCTGCCTCTCAAATGCTTGGATTAAAGGTTGGACCACTACACCTGGCCACATTAAAACTTATTTTTTAAAACTTATTATCAAAGCATTATGCCCAGTAATTTTATCTTCTAAGAAGGAAAATCCATGTTTAGTTCTTTTTGTAAGGATGTAGCCTTTTCTCTCTTTGGGTTCAAATTTGTCTTTGGTTCCTTAGGAAGCTCTTCGAGTAGTGAAGATTTTGCAGAACCTTGATCCACCGTTTAGCATTGATGGGAAGATGGTAGCTGTAAACCTGGCTACTGGAAAACGAAGGTAAGGCCTCACTTAAGTTTTAGGGAAGAACCTGCTCTTCTTGGGTGTGAGACAAATAGTAGGGCATTGTAACATACCAGCATGAGCTGCTTCTATTACCGGCTTATGCATTTTCTCTTTTCTATAGTGTGCTTTATTCTGACTATAGAATTGTTTTCATTTTTAAATAGTATTTCCACCTGAGCATGCTATTGTAGGCCTTTTATTCCAGCACTGAGGAGGAAGAGACAGGTGGATCTCATAGTAAGTTCTAGGCCATCTAAGTCACCATAGTGAGACCTTGTTTCTTTCTCTCTCTCTCTCTCTCTCTCTCTCTCTCTCTCTCTCTCTCTCTCGCTCTCGCTCGCTCTCTCTCGCTCTCGCTCGCTCGCTCTCTCTTTTTTTTTTCTTCTTGTTTTGGTTGAGACAGGGTTTCTCTCTAGCTTTGGAACCTATCCAGGAACTAGCTCTTGTAGACCAGGCTGGGCTCGAACTCACAGAGATCTGCCTGCCTCTGTCCCCTGATTGCTGGGGTTAATGGCAAGTTTTTTTGGGGGGCGGTGTAGGGGTTTGAGACAATGTTTCTCGGTGTAACATTCCTGACTATCCTGGAACTCAACTTTGTAGACCAGGCTGGCCTTGAATTCACAGAAATCTGCCTGTCACTGCCTCCCAAGTGCTGGTGGTATTAAAGGCATATACCACCATTACTGCACAGAGAGCTTTTGGTTTTTGAGGCAAAATCTCGTGCTATAGCCCATATTGACCCAGGGTAGCCTCAGAGTCACAGCAGTCCCTCTGCCTTAGTCTTCAGAGTGCAAAGTGTACAGCCATGAGCCAACACATCTGGCTGATGTTTAAATATTCAGAGGCAGGGGAACCTCAGTTTATCTCATTCTTTTTTTTTTTTTAGATTTATTTATTATGTATACAACATTTGGCCTCCATGTATGCCTGCAGGCCAGAAGAAAGCACCAGATCTCATTACAGATGGTTGTGAACCACCATGTGGTTGCTGGGAACTGAACTCAGGACCTCTGGAAGGGCACTCAGTGCTCTTAACCTCTGAACCATCTTCTCTCCAGCCCCAGTTTATCTCATTCTTTAGAATCCTAAGTAAATATGCAGTCTTCCCATTGTCCTAACCACAGGCATCCTAGAATATCTAATTCAGTTACTCTTTACTTCTTTACTCATCTTGACCAAAAACCGCTTGCTAACTGGGAGATAGCACATCAGAGATGAGTTCACAGTCATGAGGTAGCTTTTGCTCTAGCCTCTACTTAGTCATTGGTTTTGTTCCAACACATTATAATCACACTGCTGTTCCACTCAAGTATCTGGATCACCCCACCTGCCTGTTGTCTGTGGTTCCTTTTCCTACACAGTGAGAAAGATAGTTTTTCAGTGAATCTGTAGAATTAAGTATTCCTCGGGTACCTTTTGTTCAGTCTTTGATATGTCATGTTTTATGTTGCAGAAATGATTCTGGGGACCATTCTGACCACATGCATTACTGTCAGGTAGGACTTAACATATTGAGAATGTCCTCTAAAACCTTCAGGTGACTAAAAGGATGTCTGTCAAGGTTAATGGCTGTTGTATAGTTCCATAATTCTACCTTCACTTTCTCTGCTAGGGTAAAAAATATTTTCGAGATAGGAGAGGAGGAAATAGAAATTCAGATTGGTCCTCAGATACAAATCGACAAGGGCAACAGTGTAAGTAACTTTTGTCTTTCTCTCTCTCTCTCTCTTTCTTGACTGGCTAGTCATTACTTAAAACCTGTGTGGTCACAAATTTAGCAAAAAGACTTAACTAAGGCCACTCACCCAAGGAGAATATACCTTGTATAAGCTCTGCGCTTATTTGAATTGGCCACCCTAATTTCCCAAATTATTGTTTTGTTCTCGGTAAGCCCTCAGTAACAGTTTTATTGGACAGGAACTAATGCTGGCTCTGATTTTATTCCATGTAGCATCCTCTGACTGCTATATATATGACTCTGCTACTGGCTACTATTATGACCCCTTGGCAGGAACTTACTATGACCCCAATACTCAGGTTAGTTTTTTGTTTTTTTGGGGTTTTTGTTTGTTTGTTTGTTTTGCTTTACGTACTCTGTCGGTAATCCTTTTGAGAAAAGTACACATAATGTGTTACTCGGAGTATTTTATTCTCTGAATTCTCTGGATGCTCATTGCTTGAAAAGTGGGGAAGTTTATGGAATCTGAACTGTTGCTTATATAGAAAATCAATGCACTGTGGCATTACAGGTAAGAACAGCGCTGCTCTGGGAACAGTGTATAATTGGTGGCCTAAATAAATACTTGCCCCTGAAATGGCTTCTTAGATTGTTACGGGTTCTTCAGCTTGTAAAAGAATCATTCTGTTCCCTTGAAGGAAACTGTGTTCCTTAAACCTTAAATTCTGGAAAAGCAAGCATTCTATAGACTTACTTTTTTCATACTGTATCACAGCAAGAAGTCTATGTGCCCCAGGACCCTGAATCACCAGAGGAAGAAGAGATCAAGGAAAAGAAATCTACTAGTCAAGGAAAGTCAAGTAGCAAGAAAGAAACGTCTAAACGAGATAGCAAAGAGAAGAAAGACAGAGGAGTGACAAAGGTCAGACCCATTTCTTAGTCTGCTCTCTTTCATCACATGTAAACTAGAGACATTATGAACAAAGGTGTATAGTCACTTTAAAAATCCTCTAGAGGGCTGACAAGATGGCTCAGAGGTTAAGAGCACTGGCTGCTCTTCCAGGGGTCCTGAGTTCAATTCCCAGCAACCACATGATAGCTCACAACCATCTATAATGAAACCTGGTGTTCTCTTTTGGCATGCAGGCAGAACACTGTATATATAATAAATAAATCTTTAAAAAAAATTCTCTAGGGGGTCCTGGAGAAACAACTCAGTACTTAAGAGCACTTGTTTTTGCAGAGGATCCAGGTTTGCTTCCTAGCACCCACATGAGGGTCACAATTGTAATTCCAGTCAGTTCTAGGGAATCCAAACATTCTTCTGAGTTCATGTATAGAATTAGTTCCAGGACAGCCAAGACTCCACAGGGAAACCCTTTCTGGAAAAACAACAAAACATATAAATGCAAATAAATAATGTTGTGTAATGTATTAATAAGTGACATATTAATATAAAATATGTATATAAAAATCAAATTTTTTTTTTTGGTTTTTTTTCAAGACAAGGTTTCTCTGTAGCTTTGGTGCCTGTCCCGGAACTAGCTCTTGTAGACCAGGCTGGCCTAGAACTCCCAGAGATCCGCCTGCCTCTGCCTCCGAGTGCTGGGATTAAAGGTGTGCGCCACCACTGCCCTAAAACAGTGTAGTCCAGACTGGCCTGGAACTCCAAATCCACCTGCCTCTGCCTCCTTCAGCAAATCCTACCGGTCTGCGCCACCAGAACCGGCTGGTATTTCCATTTGTTTGTCTAAATACAGAAAAAAAGAAAAGAGACTTACCTTTGACATTTTTTTGTGCCTCTAAGAACTTAAAATTTAGAATCATGCTACCTTGATGTTCAGGTTCTGTTTCTACCTCTAACATATTCTTGATCCTTTTGAGAGAAGTAATACCAAATAGAATCTAGAAGGCTTATAAGGAAAGGTTTTATATTAATACTTCATCTGGTGCCTAAATTGTTGTAGACACACAATTACACTAATGTGTTTTGGGGTGTTTATTTGTTGGTACTGAGGGTTTTACTCGGTCCTTTCGAATGCTTAGGTAATTTGTTTACTGCTCCTGGCCTAAATATTACACTTTTGTTTGTTTTGTTGTTTTTCAAGACAGGGTTTCTCTGTGTAACTCTTGGCTATCCTGGAACTCACTCTGTAGACCAGGCTGGCCTCAAACTCACAGAGATCCCATTGTCTCTTCCTCCCAAGTACTGGGATTAAAAGCGTTCACTAACACCACCTGACTCACTTTTAAAGGTTCTGTATTTCAAAATTTCAAAATGTTGCAGATGTTTGAATATTTGGAAAACCAGGCTGATTTTAACAAAAATAACTTATTAACCCGGTTTTTGTTAGCGATTATCATATAAAAATTACATTTCTTGTTGGTCAGTTTCAAGAAAGTACCAGTGAGGGGAAGTCCTCCCCAGAAGATGTTTTTAAGAAGCCCCTGCCTCCTACAGTGAAGAAAGAAGAGAGTCCCCCTCCAGTAAGGCTGATTCTCATATCATGGGCTGGTCTGGGAGGGAAAGGAACCCCAAAGGCTCCTGCCTCTTTCTTGTTTTAGTTCCTTGACTCTATCCCAAGTAAGGATTCCTCTTAAGTGTACATAGTAGAAAAGTTGCTACCTGCTATCAGGGTGTAACTAATCAGAGACTGTTGTCTAACTTCTTTTTCTTTATCTTGTGGGTTTCTTGTCACACTGGGTATTGGCTCCTCCTTTTTTCTTTTTTCCTTTTTTAATTATTTTGTGTGTGTGCATACATATGTGTCAGGAGCCATTTCCCCCCTAAGAATCATTACAGGAATCACCCTAGGGAGTCTGCAGAGAACCTCACACCCATAATTGTGTTCTATTGAGAAAACCTGCCCCTCATCCAATTAACTGCTAATCTTAGCGGAACCCGCCTCACATTCCAGCTATCCAGGGAACCAGGTGTGGCTACTTGTGACTTCTGGCCTGCCCGTCCGAGTGTAGCCTGGCCTACGTGACCGGAACCACGCGGCGAGATCCCTTGCCCTGCCCCCCATTCCTTACCATATATAAACTGTAACCCGTCCCTAATAAACAGAGGCCTTGACAAAGTTGCTTGGTCTCGTTCTTCTGTCTTAGCTCACTCCCTTCCAGGTAGCGCCCCTCCGAGACCCTGGAATAAC